CTTTTTGACATTTATCGCTATAAGCTGAATAATGTTTGTCCTGTGACCCCACGTTGGGAAGCACTGCTGTACAATAGCATTAAGCTAAAATGTTAGCATTAGCACAATAATATTATTAGCATTGTCAGTATGTTTATGTATGAAAATACACAATTTATCATCCGTGCTTTGTTTAATGACATTTTATTGCAGTAAAAATGAATCTAAGCTAAAAGGAAAACAAAAGAAGCCACAGTTTATTTTCAACAAAGATGCTAACATACAGTAAATAGTGAGAGAAGTTCAGACCAAACAGCCTCAAACTCATGTTGTCCTAACATTCAGGTTTGTGTTCTGTCTCATTTTACAGACCAGTTTAACTTAAATGTTTACATGTATCATACTTATTCATTCTTTAATGTGCAAAACATAAAAAACAAAGACGTTTCTGCAGAGTTTCGAGACCGAGGAGCGCGTCGAGTTGTAAATACTGAGCCTGGAATCAGCTTTACGCGGTGAGTGAATCAGTGGCGCTGCAGTGTTTGTGTGCAAAGCCGAGGTTTGGAGTCTTTCTGCTGCTGGACCTCGTGGTCGCTCAGTCGTCATTGTTGCAGTCTGTGCACAGAATGTGGTCCCGGTCGGGGAAGAACCCGGATCCGACCAGCGACACAGAGCAGCGCGAACACTTGAAGCAGGGCTGGTGCCACTGACGCTCCTCGAAGGAAATGTACTTCCCATCTCCAAAACCTGCAACGCAACAGCAGCTGATGAAGGGTGGCTTCATTAGGATGGAAAATAGTTTCACGACAGACTTGTAAGATTAAGGAAATGAATTCAGGATAACATCAGCGGCTGGCAGCGACGGAGGAGCCAACTCCACCTTCAGGTTCTGCTTCATAGCTGTGGTCAGAAACACTTCATTTAAATCCTCGTTAAACAGCGTCTGGAGCTGATAATGAGACCTGCTGTGTTTTCACTGCTGCATTGTCTTGTCTTGCTCCATTTGTTTAATAAAAACCACAGCGTCCAAATCAGTCATAAGGTTTATTTAGTAGAAATTCTGCAGTCTGTGGTTTGTTTGTTTTTACAACTAATCCCAGTTACGATTTAATAATACGTTAATAAAAGGTTCATGCAATCAGTATTTAAAAAACAACAACAAACGGATAAAACTGTGTCCAATCCCTCAAAGAAGGACGTACAGAACTGCTTATTCACTGTCAGATAACAAAAATGAAGTGTCTCCAGCCTTATTGTGCTTTAATTTCAGGTTCAGTGGTGTTTCATATAATTTGTGCAAATCATAACTAAGTCTTAACCTCAATATCTAAACTTGTTATTCTGTCATCTTTCTATTATTATTTTTTTACTATAAAGTTTTAAATCTGCAGCTTGTCTCAGCTCCACGAAGCTTTAAGATGACTTTCAGCTCATTGTTTAGCGCTCCAGTTGCTGTTTCGCTTCATTGCTGTTGCTCTAAAAACGCCGTTTTCTGGCTGTTTTACGAGAAAAAGCTCTAAAACAACGACAGCGGCACCAAACAGCAGATAAACCCAGTGAGCGCCGTGCTAGTCAACGCTAGAGGAGTTTTACCATCTAAATATTTTGCTCAGGAGGTGGAGGAGACCAAAAATGGAGCTAAAAGGTAGTAAATGTCATATTAAATTGATTTTATTAATCAGGTGGACAGAAACGTGACGTAAAATAATGGTAATGTTGATCTGGATGCATAAATGAGCTGCTGTTTGCCAACATGTTGTCATTTTAAGCGAAACGACGACGTGTTGGCAGCTTCTTTTAGTCTCCTCTTTACGCATCACATTCAATGGATTCTGGCATTAATGTCGTTGCTCCTCCACATCTGCAGCTGTTGTGGTTTTCTGAGAATAAAAGCTGCATTTTCTGCTTGTTCGGTGCATGTAAAAGACCTCACACAGCTGCAAACTCTTTATGCAGCAAATCAGCTTCATGCAGTTTATTAGGAGCTGATAAAAATAAAGTTTGTAGTTTTTATCTCATTTATATATATAGCTTTGATGATGCAAACTGAACATTTTTTATTGCTCACATTGAAAGTTCAACATGAAAAGGCTTTTATTTATTGTTTTATTTATTTATTGAGGTAGCAAAAAGACAAAGAGGGAACTTGGTGACGGAGCTGAGACTGTTTCAGCTCGTACGGCAGCAGACAGGAGTCACAGGAAGTCTCCAGCCGGGATTAAACTAAACCAGGAAGTCTTCATACATCACAGACCTCAGAGTTGTCAGAACCTGCGCTGGACGTTTCTCACCTGTGATGGCAGTGTTGCAGCCGGAGCATTTCTTAGCGTAGAGGCTGCTGAAGCACTTGACGCAGAACGGACTTTCTCCCTGCGAGGTGAAGGACTGACCAGCCAGCGGAGCTTTGCAGCCGCTGCAGAGGAAACACTCCTTGTGCCAGACCTCGTCCCTGTAGGTGACGCCGCCCTTAGTCAGAGCCTGAAGAGAAACCAGACCGGAACCAACCGATAAGACTCAGTTCAGCTGAACTCCTGATGAAACACACCTGTCGCTGCTCCACGAAACTAAAAATCTATCCTAAAACATACTGGGAGCCAGTTTAAGAGGCTGAAACATGGTGGGAACCATTTTAAGAGGCTGAAACACACTGTCAGTCTGGAGTCCTGTGTGGACTTCGGTGTGACACAAGCCTTGTTCGGTAAACGGCTACGTATGGCGTGGCTCTAACTTGGCTCCTGGCCAATGGAAAAGCAACCGGTTCTTTGGAGGTGCCACATTTGAACCAACTAATCACTGGAACCAGCACCAGCACAGAACTAGCAGCTGGTTCTTCTCGGTGGAGAAGTGGTGGAGTCAGAGGAGGTCGTCTTGGAGAACAGGGCAGCAGGAAAGGTTGACTTATTAGCTCAAGGCAACTCAGAATAGATTTTACAGTTAAACAGACTTTGGTACAACATTGATGGCTATTGTTACGTAGCATATCGGTAGCTTCAGTTAATTGGACCCGGTGCCGACTCAGTGTCGCTAACGTGACTAAACTAACTGATAGCATGAAGCTATCATTTACACGCCATGATGGACCTGCTGACTGCATCTTCAGATGAGCTTGTTCACATATTTCTCTAAGAAGAGAAAGACACCTGATGGAGATGATGCTAGCCACGTAGCATTAGCCTTTGACTGACTCCTCAGTGACGATGGTCAGGTAGAAAATAGTGTAATAACATATCATCAGACACAAACTAGAAGCCATTTTAAATGATTAGGGTGCAGGAAAATGAGAGAAACCATCTCCTTATTGTTTCTACTTGTAGGTGAAGACTGACCAGAGAATCAGGCTTCAGAGGATCAGATGCATCATGTCTGCTGCTGATCCTCTCAGAGGATTTCTCTACAACAGCCTCAGAGCTCTTTTATTTAAAAAACAACAACAACTTACATTTATTTATTTATTTTTTTATCTTTACATTCAGCCTTTAAAAGGCCATTTTTAATTGGCCATTAAATAAATAGGTTGTAAAAGTAAAGTTTGCAGTCTAATGTCATTTGTTTAAGCCTCCATGGTTCCCTGGAGATCCTGCTGCCCCGCTGCTGACAAACCCCTCCAGAGGAAACACTGTCCTGGGAGCCGGTTTTAGAGGCTCAAGCAGGACTGATGTGTTCATGTTTTATTTGAAAGTCTGGCTGCTGGTTTCTGAACTTTCTGTGTTCTGTCATTTTTACAGCGTGTGCGTCCTGGTTCACCTTTTTGCAGTGGCTGCACTGAGGAGCGACGCGTCCCTCGTAACACGGCACACAGTAGTAGTTGTTTTTGTCGGGGATGAAGGCCTCGGCGCCGATCGGCTTCTCGCAGCCGTGACACGTGAAGCAGTCCTCGTGCCACGTGGCTCCGTCGTACTCCAACATCCTCGATCCTGTCCGACAGAAACAGAGAAAGAAACCGTTTGTTTATATATTTTCACGCCATTTTCAAGCCTCTGTGACGTTCCGGGTTTCCCTTTGATCCTGTTGTAACTATGAGCCGGACTGAAATCTGATATTGTTCTCACGATAAAACCTGTTTTTACAGCCACTGCAACTCGTCTCGCAACAAAACGACCTGACAAGCTGTGACAAAGCAGAGCTGCAGCTGCAAACACGGCATCCTGACGCTGCTCTTTATCCATTTCATCCAGCTGTCAGTTTGTTCCCATACATGCAAGGACAACACGCTCCACTGCAGAGGTTTATGGACGCCGGGAGCCGTCATGCCCATGGAGTTGGACGTCAGATCCTTTAATCACTGGCCTCGCTTTAAGACTTTAGGGACCTGAATTGCAGCCCGAAGGCACGGTGGCGTTTTGAACTTGAACTTGGCTGCACTTTGAGGGAACGGGGTAAGAGGGCAGCAGCCTCTAAAGGCATTCCAGGCTGATCAGGAACCGAGCAAAGCGAGCTCAGAAAAGAAGTGGTGAGTTAGAAATGTCCCACAGTAACCACAAACCCGGGTAATTTTCAGTCATCTGACACCGAGGCCGGTTTCGTCACAGAGCTGAAACCTCTGCTGGGACATATTTCCAGCAGAGCGAGGAAACAATCTTTCTGTCACATCTGAGCCGTCACACCCCAGATAGCTGAAACTCATTAGCCTCCTCATTCCTGCACAGACAGGGTGTGAACTTTCCGGTGCTTTAAAGTCCAGGATGCGTAGACGTGTGTCGCAGCTACCTGGCATCACGGTCTTGTCGCAGGCCACGCACTTGGAGGAGAACTCGTTGCAGTAGCAGTCGCTGCAGGTCAGACCGCCGTCCTGACTGGTGAAGGGCTCGTCGGCCAGAGAGCGGTCGCAGCGGAAACAGCGGAAGCAGTTCTCGTGGTAATGTCTGTCCTCGTAGAAGAGCTCCTGCAGAAAGACGAGACAGCAGAGGATGAAAAACCAAACACAGGATTCAAAGTGGCAGGAACTCACTTTAAAATTCAGTTTCATTAGTTTCGTTGAAGTCACTTTGTTTTCTGAGACCTTGAATGCCGAATTAAGATTCATTAACCAGCGACCTGTTGACATGTAGACATATTACATACTCTGGGCTTGTTGAAATAGCATCAGAAGAGCCTGAAGGAACTCTGGGGATATTAAAGGAACCTTACTGGCTCCTGGAAGGAACTTTAACGACTCAATTCAGAGAAGACGTCGCTGGAAGAACGTCTACAAACACAAAATAAACAAATGTATTTATGTGCATTGCAATTTTTCAACACACACACACACATTTATGTGCATCCAGTTCACCCCAATGTACAAAATTAGTTTCTAAAATGTGTGTTTAGTCGGTAACATCTCCAATAATTTAACCTAAAGTAATAATTCCTCAGTATGCTTTTATTTGTTAGTAAGATATTAGATTTTTTAAAAAGAAATATTTGACTGTAATTACACATTTTAATAATATAATATAATATAATATAATATAATATAATATATCATAACATAATAATATAATATATGTTTTTCCCACATGTAAAAATCTCCCACAAACCTGTTTTAATAAGGTTCTTCTTGTTTGGTTTGAGCTGTCAAGCAAGCAGGTTCCTCAAACATTTCCTTAACGTTCTCTTGGTTCTAAGAGCGTCAGAGTACCAACAACATTGTCGAGTATTGCTTCTTGCATTTGTGGGTTTTAACGATAATAATGACTTCAACATGGAACTCCAAACCACAAAACTGGTTCTCTGAAGAACCTTTCTGAGGGTTTTCTTTGAACCCAAAAGGTTCTTCAAAGTTCTTCTGCTTCTCACAGAGGATGTGTACATTAATACTGGACGGCTGAGCTACTGACTGTATTTATGTACTGGTTCTGTGCTCCAGAGGGTCTCAAAGAAATTCTGTTTAGTTTTCCTCTTTGCTGCTTAAGTTGTTTATTTTGGGGGAATTTCCTCGTTTTATTTGCAGCTTCATCCACAGACACAAGCTGCTTTCTCATCCTCAGATCTTACCCACGTTGTCTACATACTGTTGTCGATATATTCGGGATCCTTTTGTTCCTGTGTGTTATTGTAAGCTGTCATTCAGGGTTTGTTTTATAATTCAAGCCTCCCTCCATGTAGAAAAGTTTCCCTCGTTAAGATGCTTTTGTACCATCTGCCCAGTGACGAAACATCTCTAATAAATGGTCACTGATACAGCGCTTTACAATGTGTTTCTCATTCACCCATTCACACACCAATGGAAGCACGGAGCTGCCTGCCACTGGGAGCAACTTCAGGTTCAGCGTCTTGCTCAAGGACACATCGAACCACCAACCTTACGATTAGAAGACAACCCGCTCTACCACCTGAGCCACAGCCGCCTATAATAAATGCATTTTTTCCATTTAAACCGTGTGCCGGAGTCTGTTTGAAACTTCAGTGAAAGAGAAACTATAATAAAAAGTAAATGAGAAAAGGAAGGAAGCCAAGGCGGCTTATAAAGAAACCTGGGCTGAGTGTAATGGTACACATCTGGCAGGACAGATGCAAACAAAGCAGAATAATGAGGTGGTTCAAGACACAAACAACAAACACACAATCAGAGACACAAAAATGGTTTGAAAACAAAATAAAAAAAGCTTGTAATGAAGATGATGATTTGGTTTAAGAGCTGGATCATTTCACTGTAAGATATCTGCAAAAGTTAAATTCAAAAGCAGCCAGTTGTTCAGCAGAAGTTTTACATTAATTAGAAGAATGACAGAAATGTTAAAGTCCTTTAAAGGTGTAGCAGAATACGGATGAACGTCTGAATTCAGAGTAAAATCAGGACGATCATCAGCTAAATAGTGATTAATATTCTAAAAACATGCACTTCAGAACGGACTCAGCCTTCATCTGCAGCCACAAAATCCATCTAACGAAGCACATCTCTGCTCATTAACTGTGTTTCCGTCTGTGATTAAATGCAAAACTTTGAAATTTGAAAAAGAGAAACAGTGAAAGTCTTGTTTCCATTAGTGGCTGTGAAGTGAATAAACCCGGTTGTGTGGTGTGACCAGAAGGGGGCGCGGCAGGAAACATGGCTGCAATAAACAGAGTAGAAGAAGAGGAAACAAAAACAGCTGTTTGTCAACAGAGAAGAAACTGACCAAACTTTATCCATATATCAGAGAAAAATTAATCACTTTTCAAATTAAAACCAGATTGTAGTTGTTCTTGTATGTCCGAGGATTGTTGTGACCTTTAATACAAAGAGCTTAAAGCTTTATTTAAAACACACAGACGAGCTTCACTGAGTGAAACGTTCCTTCTAAACATCTGCACGTCTTTCTACATGTTTTAGTCACTTTTGCTGATAAACTGCGGTGAACAGCGGTTTGAGGAAATCATTCAGCCTCTTTACAAATTAAAACTTTCTATTTGTGAGCAGTTCTGACAGATTGATGTCAGCAGACCTCCGTGTTTCATTCTAAAACATCTCCTCCGAGCTGCGACTCAATAAAAACACTCCTTCTCCGACCTCCTGCCGTCCCCAAACACACGAGGACTTCTGCTGCTTTTCCTTTTCTTCGCCGTTGTTTTCTTTAAAATCTCACTTTGTGCTTTTTCCTCTGCAGCAGCTGTTTGTGTTTCAGTTCACGAGCGGTTCAGGAAAACTCGGTGATAAATGGCCGCATTGAGAAAGTGATTTCTGCGGCGGATGAAGGATGATGATGTTGCTGGAGGAGCCAAAGCAAGCAGGAGTTTAATTTACAGCCTCACAGGGAGTTTTATAAAACGCCGACCGCCTCGTGACGTCTTCCCTTCTGATTCTGATTTTCACTTTCAGGGGAAGTTACAAGAAGTTTTGCAGCTCTGCGACTAGAATCATGTTTTCCAGGAACAGCAGCCGGAAAAATGATGCTAATGGAGTCGGACAGTTGGGAGGAAGGAGTTTTCACATCATTTACTTTTAGAAAGGCCCCAATAACACAATGAAGAAGCACAGTTTTTATTTGAAACAACTTTTATGGAAGCTTCTGGTATTCTGCTGGTGATCATCGTTTTCTCTGTGAAATGTGAACTGTTCTCTGGTTTCAGTGGAAGATTTGCTGCTTTTCTCTGGTTTAAATCATTCAAAAGGCATTTATTTGGATAAAGCAAGACATCTGGAGACTTTACTTTGGGCTCAGAGGAAACTATGATGGGTATTTATTACAATATCTAACAACCAGTGAAGGAAAAGCAAAAAAAAATATTACTGTCAAGAAACATTTTTATTATTGTGAGTCACATGCTTCATTAGTGTACGCAGCATTTTAAGGGTTGAAGCAGAGTTAAATTAACTGTTTTATACATTTTTATGGGCATCTGTTTATGGAGGAGCTGAAAGTATTTGAAAATGATTGTTTGTGTTATTTGGTTATTGATCAATCACCTCTTTTTTTTCTGGGTAATGGCAGCTGTTTTATAGGTTTTGATGCTTTTGTCTGTTTTAAATTGATCAAAATGCATTTATGTGGCCAAAACAAGACATCTGGAGACGTCTGATGGACATTTAATAGACTGAGTTATTCACTGATGGTCAGCTGGTTGAAAAAATATTAGTTTCAGCTCTAATATGTAAAATATTTTGCATATGAGAGAATAACGCATCGCTGAAATGTTCTGTAGTACTATAAATGGAAAGTACTTGCATGTATATATATATACATATAGCAAAAGGTATTAAATCCTACATTTTTTTAATTGAACCTCTGCTATTATCTGGTTTTAGTGGAGGATTTGTTTCTTTTTTGTATTTTAAATTGTCCAAAATTGCACATATGTGGACAAAGCAAGACATCTGGAGACGTCTGATGGACATTTAATAGACTGAGTGATTCACTGATGAGGGAAATGGTTGTCAGATGATTTAAAAAAAGGACGCTTCAACTCTAATATGTCAAATATTTTGCATTAAAAATAATATATTGCCAAATGTCATTTTTATAATCTTGTTTTTTCAGTGATATCGGAGCTTTTTCTTATTTTAAAGGAGGACTTGCTGCTATTTTCAGCTCTAAAAATGAAATATATTTGTACGAAACAAGACATTTGGAGACTTCAGCCAGGACTCAGAGGAAACTGTGAAGCATGTTTGATAAAATGAAGATTAACTGATTAAGGAAAGGAGATAAAAAATATTACTTTCAGCTCTAAAAAGTAAAATATTTTGCATATGAGAGTATAATGTGTCACTGAAATGCAATTAAAGTACTTATACAGGAGTTAAGATGACAAAAAATGTATATATTGCAAAAAGATATAATAATAATCATAGATTTTTCTGTGAAATATCAACTATTCTCTAGTTTAAGTGGAGGATTTGTTGCTTTTTTTAATTTTAAATTATTCAAAATTGCACATATATGGACGAAACAAGACAACTGGAGACTTCTGATGGACATTCAATAGACCAAATGATTATTTGATTAAGACAACAATTGTTAGATGATTAAAAAAGGGGGAAAAATGTCAGTTTGATCTCTAAGATTTAAGACATCTTCCTTATGAAAGCATAGTTGCCTCACTGGGAGGTCGTGGGAACAAAGAAAGCACCTTTGCATTGTGTCCGATGATCTCTTTACACTCCTGGCAGGTCTTGGCGTGCAGCCGGTCGTAGCAGGGGATGCAGTGCGGCTCGGCCTCCACCTGGATGTATTTGCGTCCGTACAAGGACTCGTTGCAGTTCTTGCAGTCGAAGCGGTCGCTCATGATGTCGCCGTTTGGCCGAGATCCTGCAGGACGAAGGATTCAAAAGCACGTTCAGTATCAGAGAGGAGGCAGCTCAGGAAGGAGGACTGAGATTAGAGGACAAAAACAGGCAGAAAGCAGGAAGAAAGGAGTCCTTTTGAATTATAGTCGGCGAATAAAGAGGAAACAGGAGAGAAAATAACCTTTAACTTAAGGAATGCACAACTCTGAAAGCTGTTAAATATGGTTCAGAAATGTGCAGAAACAAGTGAATGCCCACAGCGAGTTACAAAATGACCAGAGAGACCTTTAATAATCACACAGAGACTCAAAATGATCATAAAGAGACATAAAACCACTATGTAGAGATACAAAATGATCACAGGCAGCCATAAAATAACCACAAACAGATATGAAACAACTACAAAGAGACACAGAAGGCCCCCAAAGAGATATAAACTGACCACAAGGAGAAATAAAATAACCACAAAGAGACATGAAGTGACTACAAAAGACATAAAATACGCTCTAGCGTTGCAATATGAGCA